AAAAAAAATTGCAATAAAAATTGTCTACTATTGAGGCATTTGTAGATTTGCATGTTTTTAAATTTTATTTAAAAAGTTATTCACATATTCAGAGTGAAAATTTCAATTTATTATAACTGTTTAGAATTAGAAAATCCAGGCTTTTACTTTATCTTGGTTGTGTTGCATGTAATTATTCTAGAACTAAAATTAAGTTCCATTCTTATTGGCTCGTTAGTTATCTTGCTGGAATCATGTGTTTAAATGTGTCCTTTGCTCATGATGCAGGGAAGAACATATCTCATTAATCAATTTGCTCTCGATGGTGAAAGTGTTTCCGAAGAAAATGGGATTAGAAAGTGTTGTCTTTCAGATTCTGTATTGGCTGCTGTTGGAGATGGTTTTACCAAACTTGAGATTTTGAGGTTGATGTGGTTTCCTGATGGAATACATGTAGGGCTAATATCTATTGCTGAGAAATGTAAATTGCTTGTGTCTTTGGAATTATAGGTAATTGCCCATTATTTAACCATACTTACATTCTATATTCTGAACTATCATTGAGCAGTCTATTAATCTGTGAAGTACATAAGCATTGCATGTGAATTTAGATTATCAATGGAGCCTTTCTACTTGCACGTTTTGCTTTGGCTTGGGTAGCTATTTAGTAGCAAGATCTAGAATACTTTTCCATATTTGCTTAGGCTGTGGTATTGGGGAAGTTGCATGGAATGGTTATTGGGAGTGGAAATCTATGGAGGAAATTGGGTCTCCCTTGCTTGATTGGAGGTTGAAGTTTCAAAGAAATGAAAAGTGGACCAAAAGGGTTATTTTCTTTTATTTTACTAACGTGTTAAATCACGTTTGATAGAAAGTCCCTTCCCATATTCTTAAGTTCCACTAAACTTACCTCATGGCAAAACATAGCCGTATGCATGTTGTTAATTTAAATTCTGCAAAAATTTCTTATTATCTATTGATCTAGTTTAGGAGTTCTGTAAGATTAACGTATGATTGCTGCTTATTCTAAATGTATGCCTAAGTAAGCTTTTGTTACACCCTCTTAAAGGAATGCTATGGTGCAGATGAAGCTCTAGCTGTTATTGGGAAGTATTGTTCTCGACTTGAAGATTGAATTTGTGGGTTTGTTTATTTGGCCCTTGGTTGTGGGAATCACTTGGTCTTTATTACTCTGAAAGTCTTACAAACGTCTCAATACAAGCAGTGGGATTTCGCTGCCCATTCCTTGAAACCTTATTGGGAGTTTCAGATCATCCACAACAAAGGCTGTGGTATTAGGGAAGTTGGAATGGTTTGCAGGAGTTGAAAGCTATTGGGAAATTGGCTTTCCTTTGCTTGATTGGAGGGGATAAGGTTTCAATGGGGTGAAAAAAATTATTTTTCTTTTATTTTTGCCCCACATATATCAAATCTCATTGGATAGGAAGTCCTTCCCATATCTCTTTCAGTTCCACACATATTCCCCTCTTACCAAACAGAGCCTCATGTGTGTTGTTCATTTGGCTTCTGCAAAAAATTCTTATTAAATATTAATTTAGTTTTGAAGTTATATATGATTAACTTATCATTGCAGCTTATTTTAAATGCTATGCCTAAGTAACCTTTTGTTACATGATCTTCTTAAAGGGGTGTCGTGTTGAAGATGAAGCTCTAGCTGTTATTGGGAAATATTGTTCTCGACTTGAAGATATAAATTTGTGGGATTGCTTAGGTTTTACCGAAACTGGATTGGTTCAGTTGGCCGTTGGTTGTGGGAGAACTTTGAAGTCACTTGATGTTGCTTCCTATGAAAGTCTTCCTGATGTCGCATTAGAAGCAGTGGGATTTCAGTGCCCATCTCTTGAAACCTTGTCATTGTTTTCAAGGTTTATCCGCAACAAAGGCTTGATTTCTGTAGCCATAGGATGCCATCTACTAAAATCTTTGAAAGTATACTGCGAAAATGTGACAGATGAGGCTTTGCAAGCTGTTGGAAGTTTTTGTTTACTGCTGGAGTCTTTATCTTTATACCAATGTTATAAATTGACGGTCAGGTTAATTATCCTTTATAATTAAGAAAAATGCAATCCCCTGTTCCCCTTTGAAATTTTAATGCTACTTGTGTAAATATTCTTTTGATATCGGTACTCTGTTCTGCGAAGAAGCTTTGATTACATCCACTTTAGGTCATTGTGCCAATTGATATGTGTTAATTTTGGAGGCCTATAAGAATTAATTTTGGTTCAACCACCGAGCATTTTAGCATATTTTTTGGCTCCACTCTTACACTTCCGGATTGTGCACACTGTTTGTGATCTGAAAC